TATTGGAAATTATCCAACAATACCACTGATAACACAGGCAAGCAAAATCCTGCTGAAGATTACTCAAAAATGGTCATGCTGCTGAGCCAGGGCCTGGGTCTGGAATCAGGTCTTAGCTGCCAATGTGCCCTCTACCTCCTGCCACCTGTGGATCATGGATCCCCACAAAGTGAGCGAGTTTTGGGCCTTCGTCAAGATGTGTAAGCAGGATCCTAGCATTCTGCACAGCGAGGAAATGTGCTTTCTGAAGGAGTGGGTGGAGAGTGTATGTGGTAAAATATCACCTGATACTCATAAAGCTAAATCAGAAGAAAATGTCAAGGAAGAAAAACCAGATAGCAAGGGGTCAGAGGAAGATCTAAAGACAGATAAGCCATCAAGTGAGGAAAGTAATCTAGAAATTTATAATGAAGGTATGATTGAAGCAGACACCGATGCCCTTCAGGAAATGGGAGATGAAAATGTAGCGCTAAAGGAAGAGATGATGGATGAGGCCAGTGAGAAGAAAGTGGCTGCCGTTGAGGCCCTAAATGAAGGTGAGCTTCAGAAAGCCATTGACTTATTCACAGATGCCATCACACTGAATCCTTGCTTAGCCATTCTGTATGCCAAGAGAGCCAGTGTCTTCATCAAATTACAGAAGGCAAATGCTGCCATTTGAGACTGTGACAGAGCCATTGAAATTAATCCCGATTGAGCTCAGCCATATAAGTGGCACGGGAAAGCACACAGACTTCTGGGTCATTGGGAAGAGGCAGCACATGATCTTGCCCTTGCTTGTAAACTGGACTATGATGAAGATGCTAGTGCAATGCTGAAAGAAGTTCAACCACGGGCCCAGAAAATTGCAGAAAGTTGGAGAAAGTATGAAAGAAAACGTGAAGAGCAAGAGATCAAAGAGAGGATAGAGAGAGTTAAGAAGACTTGAATTAAGAAGAACATGAACGCTCCCAGAGGGAGGAAGAAGCTAGGCAAAAGCGCAATATGGTGCTTTTCCAGGTGGCTTTCCTAGAAGAATGCCTGGAAATTTTACAGGGGGAATGCCTATGCCTGGAATGTCAGGAATGCCTGGCCTTAGTGAGATTCTCAGTGTTCCAGAAGTTCTAGAGGTGGCCTAAAATACAGCAACTATGTCAAAGTATCAGAGTAATCCCAAAGTTATGAATCTCATCAGTAAATTGTCATCCAAATTTGGAGGTCAAGCGTAATGCTCTTTTGATAAATAAAACACTTGCTGATGGGGAAAAAATTATTAAAAAATGACTGGAAAAGTACATTGACAAAAAAAAAAAAAAGTACATTGACAGAGAACTACCAGAAATACAGGCCAGATTTAGAAGAGGCTGTAGCATCAGAGACATTATCACCAAAGTCAGATGGATCTTGGCTGAAAGCAAAGAGTAACAGAGGAAATGTCTGTGTTTCACTGACTATGCAAAGGCATTTGACTATGTAGATCACAACAAACTGTGGCTAACCTTGAGAAGGATGGGAATCCCAGAACACTTGACTGTGATCATGTTAAACCTATACTTGAATCAGGAATCAGTCAACAGAACAGAGTAAGGAAATACTGCATGGTTCAAAATCAGGAAAGGTGTGTGTCAGGGATGCATCCTTTCTTTATGCCTTTTCTTTTTTTATCCTTGTTGTGTACCATCAAATCAGATCAGACTGGCACAGGAGTATATTGCCCCTCCTTCTCCAGCAGAACATTGTGGTGGATTCAAACCATGCACCTCTGGGATTGTAGCACAGCTTCTTGCCAATAGGCCCCCAGAACTCCTTCTTCAAACCTTTTCAGTCTACATGTAGAACAAATCAGTCCAGAGGCTGAGCTTTATGAGGAGGAATGTGGAGGAAGACTGATTAGTAACCTACGTTATGCAGATGACACAACCTTGCTCACAGAAACTGAGGAGGACCTAAGATGTTCACTGCAGAAGGTCAAGGACTTCAGTCTTCAGTATGGACTGAAGCTCAACATCAAGAAGACAAAAATTCTCACCGCTGGGCCAACTGGCAGCACCATGATAGATGGAGAAGACACTTAGGGTGTTACCCCTTTCAGCTTGCTCAGCTCCACAATCAACACTCTTGGCACCAGCAATCAGGAAATCAAAAGACAAATTGCTCTGTTAGCAAAAGACGAAATCTGCTGTCAGGGACTTCTCAAAGGTGCTGAAGAGCAACAATGTCAGTCTGGAAACTAAAGTGTCCCTATCCACACCACGGTCTTTGCAATTACTTGCATCAGAAAGCTGGAATATGATCAAAAATAACAGAAGAATTGATGCCTTGGAGTTGTGGTGCTGAAGAAGAGCACCAAACATACCATGGACTACCAAGAGAACAAACAGGTTCATCCTGGGGAGGGTAAAACCAGGCTGATCCTTGGAGGAAAAGATTTTGAAGCTCTGACTAAAATACTTTGGACATGTGGCCAGGAGGAACCAGTCTCTGGAGAAGGACATCATGCTTGGAAGGATAGTGGGACAGTGCAGGAGAGGAAGACTCGATGAGACGGATTGACACAAGTAACTGGGGTAAAGGAAGTAGGAAGTAGGTGTGTTAGAGACAGACTGGCTCAGTATGGAACAGGGTTCAGAGCTATTGAACACAGGGCCACTATGAGTCGCAGGCGACTCGATGGCATATAACAACAACAACAAACAGCACTTTAAAAGCAAGATGTAAATAATCATTTCAACAGCACAAAACAGGAGAAATAGCTCTTGACAAGACATAACTACTAAAAGAATGACATAGATAATGTGTGGCAAAAGGACCAAAAGGAAAAAGAAATTTCTCCAATTTTATTTATAAATAAAACTTGGAAAAATATTTCCAGAGAAAGAGGAATTAAAAATAGGCCTTCAGGAATGAGCAAGATTTGAAGGGACAAATGAAAAGAGAAATTTTATCATAAGATAAAACTTAAGTCAACAAAAGCCAGAGTCAGAACAACATTATTTGAAGGCAGGGGTTATTTGTAACAGAATCATAGAAAAGCCCCTGTAAAGTCCCAATTGCAATTCAAAGGAATTCACATTCTATCACACATGCAATATGATATACCTCACAGTCAAAATCATTTTAGAGGAAGGGAGAATATTTAATACCTAATAGCCTAGCCTCATTTTTAGAAGATTCCAGTTATATTTACTTTATTTGGTGATAATTACTTGGTTCAAAAAATTTCAAATATAAAACTAGTTACTCAGGAAAAATGAAAGCTTATGTTCACAAAAACTCAAACAACAGAGTTCTAAGCAGCTTTAGTCAGACTAGCCAAAACCTGTAAGAGGCAGTATGTCCCTCAACAGATTAAACAGCATTCAGTGCTATAGTCAAGCAATAAAGTACAAAAAAAGTACAAACTACTGCAACAGAGTGCAGAGCAGTGAATTATTTGATGTAGCTTTTTCTACTAACCAGGGTCTTTGTAACTCTCAGCATATAGCTAAGTTTTTTTTTCTTGTTAGATTGAGCTGGTTGTTCATGGTAACCAACAGAACAGCAGATACAGAACCTTGCCCTAACCTGCACTACTCTCATGCCATCACACATTTTACACCCTATGAAAATCTACTGGAGGATCAGCTATGAGTCAGTTCTGACTCCAGGGCAACAAAAGAGATGGAAATAAGACCAGTAACCTGGGGATTGGTCAATTCTGTCATCTTCCAGGCTCAAACTGAGCTCTTCAGAGGCAGAAAATGGGCATTTCATTACCATCAAGAAGAGTTAGAGTTCAATGTGTACTTTGGACCTGAGATCCCTTCACTGACAGGAGACAACTAGGAGAGGGAGAAAACAGGTAGCAGCCAGGGCTGCAGTGCTAGGAGATGGGCTCTGGACAGAGCTGGGGGATTTTGGCTCAAAGAAGCTATGTGGATGCTGGCAGAGTAGGTACTTCAGGCACTAGCTGGGGAGCTGACTCTCCTGATCCATGGAGCTAGTACCTTTGGGACTGGGTTACTGGTGGAAAGATACTTGGAAAAGAAGACCTAAAAGAGCTTTATGAATACTTGCCCAAGCACGGCAGAGGCTGAGTGCCAGAGAAAAAGAGCCTCATCTTTTAGCATGGCTGAGAAGAGATGTCCTGCCTGAAGAACCATATTCTGAGTTGTTCATAATTCTGATTTGTAACTTGTTACTTCCCTAATAATCCCCCAAGTCCTATGTATTGTTTTTTAGTTTTATGCAGTCACTGCAACAAGTTCTTGAACCCAAAAGAGAAGCAAAAATGCTGAGGAAGGAATGTTTGGTGTTAGAATTGACAGACAAGGTTTAGAGCATGTTGGATAGAGGCGTGTACCTAATGATGCTGTTGATGAGCATTCTTTCCATTTGTGAAGTCTGTGGTGGTCAGACACTGTTGTGCCCCTCCCTGTGCTGTTATTCTTGTCAACGAAGCTCAGTATTATCACACAAAATGAAAGAAATCTTATATTTGAGCAGCACTCAAGAGCAATGATTTTGAAAAATACAATATAAGATGTTAGAGCTAGAGAGTATTTTATTGAGTAAACTAACTCAGATGCATAAGAACAAATACTGTGGGGAGCTCTGGTGGCCTGGTGGTAAGGAGCTGCAACTACAATCCCAGAGGCGCATGGTTCGAATCCACCAGATGCTCTGCCGGGGAAGGAAGGACAATCTCCTCCTGTACCTGTCAGATCCGATTTGACGGTACACTCACACAAAAATAATAAAGTTAAAAAAAAAAAGAAGAAATACTGTGTAAGACCAGTACCATAAAAACAGAAGGATAACCAGTGAGATGTGTATAGCTATCCAAAGAGGGAAGGGGAGGAGGCAGGCGGCTGAGAGAGGGAAATCACGGGGTTGCAGTATGGTGGGTGGAGGGAGGAATCGGGGGAAAAGAAAAGCAATATACATGAAGGAAAACACAATAAAGTGAAAAAGTATATTTGTAACAGTCTCATTTTTAAGAAGTATCAAGTTATCTATGACAGAAAAAAAGGGACAGACGTATGATAAGTGGGGCTGGGGCTGGCTGGAAAGAGGATATGATCAATTTTCTAGGGTGATGGTAATGTTCTAAACCTTGAGAGGGACTTAAGTTTCCTAAGTTGCCAAAACCGATAAAAAGGTACTCTTAAGATCTGTACATTTCACTATATGAAAAATTTACCTTAAAAACAACTACTACTTTAAACAAAAGCAAATAGTAGCTTAGGAACATGTATGCTAGAGTATGTAGGCATTTAGGCTGACTTAGATATCTATAAGAAAGCATTTTAAAATATAGGGACTGAAAGGAATTTTTGTTTTCCTTTTTCTTGTTCTGTACTATCAAATCAGATCTGACTGGCACACAAGATTGCCCCTCCTTCTCTAGCACAGCATCTGGTGAATTCGAACTGTGTGCCTTTGGGATTACAGCACAGCTTCTTGCCACTAGGCCACCAGAGCTCTTGGGAATCTTTTTATTAAAAAAAAAAAAGACAAATGAGAAAGAATAAAAGCAAACCCTAGGAACCTAATTAAAATAAAATAAAACATTTTGTGTATTTAGTATATGAGAGGATGGAGAAAAAGAAGAGTATTAATTATAGAATTTAGATGGTAGGTACATATGGGTGTTCACTGTTATAAGTATAGGCAGCATGAGGCTGGCCATCTATGATCTCCACTAACTCCACAAAGAGGAACTGTACATATCAACATGCACAGTGCAAAACCAATTCCTCAAAGGTCAGACATGGTCTCACACACCCATCCACCTACTTCTACTAATTAATTAATTTCTTTTCCTTCCTTCCTTCCTTCTTTCCTTCCTTCCTTCCTTCCTCCCTCCCTCCCTCCCTCCCTTTCTTTCTTTCTTTCTTTTTCTTACTTCTACTAATTTCAACATCAATCTTACCCTGGTTCTGAAATCCACTGTAATGACCACTGAGATCTCATAGAGTTATGGAGCTTGTTAAAGAAGTCAACAGGTAACAATTAGGTTTGTAGCAGGATACAATTCCTCAGTCCAGACAGCTTCTCAAATGTGTTCATGGTCCCTTTGACCTTCAGCCTCACAGCTCATATTAGTGTTACAAAGTTCCCTTAGTCCTGCCTATTACAATGGCATCTTCCTCTTGTCCTCCGGAAAGCTTGGACAAAGGCCCCTGGCTCCACGGGGCAGCAGTCCCAAGTCAGCTGTCTCATGTCAGTCTCTTGTTTTCTGCTGAGGCTGCTGCTCCTCAACCATAGATCCCAGTCTGCCTAGCAAAGAAATCTCTGGCCCTGCTGTCCACTCTTTCTTGCTGTTAGTGAGATTCTCCCTTTTGCTGCTAACTCCATTAACTATGTGGGACTGGAAAAACTAACCAAAAAATAATCCTATGATTAATTTGCATACACCCTATTTTAAATTCTCACATACTTATGAGGTATAAGCCAAAGTCAATGGCTAGGAAAGCCATTTTGAACAATAAATCCTTGATACCGTAACGGTGCATTCTTTAAACCCATTTGTATATTTAAATGTTGCAGTAACCCTTTAGTCTTTGTAAGAAATAACTATTGTTGGCGAGCTCTGGTGGCCTAGTGGCAAGAAGCTGCAACTGCAATCTCAGAGATACACGGTTCGAATCCACCAGATGCTCTGCTGGAGAAGGAGGAACAATCTCCTCCTGTACCAGTCAGATCTGATTTGATGATACACACAAAAAAATAATGAAATAAAGAAATAACTATTGTTAATAGTTTCATGTATACTCTTCCAGTTTTAGTGCATGTAAAATCCTTCCTTCTCCCACAAAAAAAAGGAGTATAGAATAAATCCTATTCTGCATTTTTTTTTCTCTTAATAGTTCTTGAAGTGCTGAGCATTATCAATATGTGGAAAGATTTATTTTTCTGAATAAATATTCCTTAATTGTTTTAACTAGCAAAACAATGACTTAAAGTTTCAGACAAATACTGCTGGTGCCACTGTTGTAAAACAGGACTGACATCAGGGTTTGGGGGAGACTGAGAGGGATGGGATAAATAACGTATACTTCATTGAAACAGACGAGGGAGAAAACTGTAAAAGGGATATGTGATTAGGTATTATTGCAATGACAGGAGTCCAGAACGAAGGCTGCATAGTGGAGTGGACCTGGGGCAGCAATTGTAAAACAATGAAAGAATTTTTCTTTTACTTTTCAAAGAGAAGAGTGTACTGGAAGGGAGGGGTGGGCATGGAGAAAAATGCAATAATGAATGAATGGAAATCCAATGTCCAAATTTTCATTAAAATTAATAATAATAAAAACAAATTTTTAAAAAGTCATTGTTTCAAGGGTGAATTTCTAAATGAATGTTTCAATTAAAATTCTATTTTTTTACTTTCTATATTAATGCCTTAAAACTATTTCAAATAGATTAAAACCACTAGAAATTATTAACGAAGTGTCCACACAGGCATTTTTCAGCAAAACAAAAACAAAACTATACTAATTTTATCATATAGTACAGTTATCTTTCTTCTAAGCTAGTTAGCTTAGAAGCTGCTAATCCTCACAAAACTGTGTATACATTCTTAGTCAAGCAAGTAGGGAAAAAACCATATTCTCTTCAACTTTCACCAAATATTTCTTGCAAATATCAGGTCTTTAATATTAAAAATAAAACATTAAAGGTGGCATTGACCAGCCATTAATCAATTTAAATACATAACTATAATTGAAAAAAAATATTAATTTACCTTGGGGAAATATTTGTATAGTCCCATGTATGCAAGCTGTAAAGTAAGAAACGGAGCAAATATGGACTGTAAAGAAAGAAGATAAAATTATTTATTTCTAACATAATCATTCAAGTCATAATAAATCAAAATAACAATTGCTATAAAGCTCCAAGCAAAAGCTGTAGATAAAATATCTTCTCTCTTATTGCCATTGAATTGGAACCAACTCACAGCAACCCTCCCTCAGGTTTCCAGGGCTGTAGAGCATAACAGGAAGAGCCGCTCCACCTTTCCCCAGCAGAACAGCTACTGGTTTTGAATCTCCTTCCTTTGAACTGGCAGCACCTCTCCCTACTGCCTAAACCACCAGAGCCCCCTAGAGATTATTTCAGTGATTGAAAAGAATCTTGGTTCTGCAAAAGAGTAAAGAAAATACAAGGATTTGGATTCCTAACTAAAAAATAATTTCCTTAAGCATTTCACATTCCTTTAATGTGCAAAAAAAATTCTCATAAAAACCTACCTTTGAAGTAATTTCTATTTAGTTGTGGAAGATGCATGAAACATTATACAGTATTAAGTTCTTTATGTTCATGGAATGAACTAGCAAGCATCAAGCACATATGAAAAGTCTCATCATTCAAATCAAGGTCAGACAGTCCTAAATCTTTGAGGCAAGGGATTAACTTAATAGCCAGATTGTTGGCTTTCAAATGATGAACTTTTATTAAGACAGGATGAAACAGCCTGATTATAAGCATTCTCTGACAACAAAACAGAAATTAATCATATTTATTGTTGTTGTTGTTGGGTGCTATAAAGTATGGCTCACAGAGACCCTATGAACAACAGATCTGAACCCTGCCCTATCCTGTGCCATCCTCATCAACTCTGACATATTTGGGCCCATTGCTGTAATCATAGTAGCTATCTTGACTCATCTTTCTCTCTCTCTGACTCTCCACCTTTCCAAGCATGATATCCCTACTCAAGGAATAACCTCTCCTAGCAAGATGTCCAAAGTATGAGAGACAAGCTTTGCTATCTTCGTCTCCAAGAAGCACTCTGGTTGCACCTTTTCCAAGACTTCTAAAATTAAAAATACTGTGAAGAAAATGAAGGAGTAAAAATATAATGAGAGCAGTGAGAAATGAAAGAAAAATGTGATAGAAAAAAATAACACCAAAAACCCTTGGAAAATGAGGCGCACACACACACACACACACACACAAAAAGGACCTAACTTTTAAAAGCAGCAGAGCTTCTTAATTAAAAGACAAAACGTAGCGACTCTGCTTACCTACCACCTGTTAAAAGTGATTACTCACTGCTCTTTGTAATGATGACCACTTATTAGAAAAAAAAAATCAAGTCGGTCCAATAGATTATATTTGCATAAAAATATTAAAAATCTTTTTGCTTAGATGACTAACACAATAATTATCTGAAAAATATATTTATGTGCCTGGTACATGATCAGTGTTTTCCACAGTCTACTGAACAGAAATACCTCAAAATGCAAGATACTGAATCATGAGCTCTGCTTTTCTGCATTCCTCTGCACATTGTAAAATAACAAGATTATTAAATCCCAACTTTTAATGAAGAACCATTGGCACATTAAGGAACAATGAAAATTGTCTCTACACATACTACTACCCCACCATAAAAGCAAACTTGCCCTTGTTAAATCAATTCTAACTTATAGTGACCCTCAGGACAAAGCAGAACTGGCCCACAGGGTTTCCAAGACTGACTTTTTAACAAGAATTTTTCTCTACTGTGCTTCAGGCCAAAGTTTAAAGGGCAAATTAGTACTCCATTGAATAGTTGGTACATACATAAAGTATTCCATGACACTGCAGTCCACACAATGTGTCAGAACATCCCTATTTCCACCCTGGGTTCCCCATTTCCTTTCACCTAAATTTTCTACCCTTACCTGCCCTTCTCTTTCTTCAGGTAAATATATGCTGTCCATTTATTTCATTTTATGGGCACATTCATTCCTTGGCTAAAAAGGTGGTCTCTGGGAATGAAGACTGCAAACTTTTACCGTAAGAGATGGTTATGTTTCTCCACCAGCATGGTTGATGAACTTAAACCTCTGAACTTCTGGTTAGCAGCAAAGTTTTAACCACTGCATCACCACAGATACTCTATAACACAGTATCATAAAATGCTAAAACATCTTTTGAAGCGTTGAAAAAAATATACCAGATTCTGGATCATATGTGCTACCACATTTAAATGTTTCAAGTTATTTAGAAATCGGCAATTAATGAATGTATGTAGGAAGTTCTGGTGGTGTAGTCCAGAGAGTTGCACCCAAAGGTCACACTTCCCTGGAGGTTCTAATCCACCCGCAGCTCTGTGGGAGGACGGGCAATCTCCCGTGTGATTTACAACCCAGGAAACGCAATGGTTGCTCAGCTATGAGTTATTCCTATTTAACAGCAAGGAGGGTTTGGGGTTTTTTTTTTTCTAATGTAGTAGTTTACACTTGGCTTCTGCAATAAAATTGCTTGTGTTCAAATCTCTGCTTTAATTTAGTAAATGTGTGACCTTAGGCAAATAACATTTCTGAACCGCCATTCCCTCATCTATAAAGCAAGCATTTGAATGATTACCACCTCATAAGAATGAAGATTAAATGGATTAATCTATGTAAAGTACTGAGAATGACAGAAAAAGTCTAGTAATTATTATTAGGCTCTCTATTTAACCAAAGCACCCCATTCTACAATTAAACTAAAGAGCAAAGTTTATAATCAGATAAATATTAATACTGGTAATGAACTCTGAAGGGTGGGAAAAAAAACCTCACTATTATATTGTACTTCCCCTTATTAATAGTTTACATTCTTATCTTACCAAGTATTTGCAAACAAAAGCCCTAACTCCAAGGGCAAGAAGAGCACATCCCACCAATCTAAATATTCGGAAAGAGTCAAATTCTTCTGTTGAACTTCCATCCTCTTGATTGGGTTTCTCACTAATGAGCTGTTTCCTCAGCTTCATTGCCTCTTCAAATCTAGAGAGGTACTGTTCTAAGCCATGCCGAGAATCCCTCTGGGCATTGTCCGCTGTGGGGTCCCCTCTGTTTCGCTGCCGGAGCTCAATGTTGACATCATTAGTGCACTCAGAGGGTTTCATGAAAGAGTCCAGTTTGTCTCCCAGTTGGATTCCCTTTACTTCGGCCATACTACTTGACTGATCAGTTGCTCCCGTAGTGACTGAATCACCCAGTACTACTCGCTTTGAAACTGAAGGAATGGTGAGGGAGTTCAGTTTATCACTGTCCAGCTGCTTTGATTTTGTTTGGCTTTCTTCTTCTAAAAAAAAGAGATTTTAAAATTTTACTGTATTAATCACTAAGCAGACACCTTCATGCTGATACTAAAAAAAAAGGTGCTACTCACCACAAGATAAAGGTAAATAACCCAATTTAAAAATGGGCACAGGATATGAACAGACACTTTACCAAAGACGACATCCAGATGGCTAACAAACACATGAAAAAAATGTTCAAAATCCCTACCTCTAAGAGAGATGCAGATCAAATCAACTATGAGATATCATCTCAGAAATGAAAATTTAACAGAATAGTAAGCAATGAATGCTGGCGAGGTTGTGGAGAAACTGGAACCCTTATTCACTGTTGGTAGGAGTGTAAAATGGTACAACCACTATGGAAGGCAGTATGGTGCTTTCTCAAAAAGTTGCAAATAGAAATACAATTTGACCCAGCAATTCCACTACTGGGAATTTACCCTAAAGAAATCAGAACTGCCATCCAAACAGATATATGTACACCCATGTTTACTGAGGCTTACTGTTAGCAATAGCAAAGAGCTGGAAACAACCCAAGTGCCCATCAACAAACAAATGGATAGAGAAGCTCTGGTATATTCATACAATGGAATACTATGCAGCATTGAAAAACAAGAAACTCGTGAAATATTATGCAAAATGGATGACCCAGGAGGACATTATACTGAGTGAAATATCTCAGTCACAAAAGGACAAATACTGCATAGGGCTACTGTTGTAAAATGGGACTGACATCAGGATTGAGAGAAGACAGAAAAAGAGGGGAGAAATGATGTATATTTCATTGAAACAGATGGGGGGAGATCGGTTTAAAAAGGATCTATGAATGGGTATTCTTGTCATTACAGAAGTCCAGAGTGAAGGCTACACAGTGGAGTGAACTTGGGGAGGAAGGATTGTATAACAATGAAAGAGTTTTTCTTTTTCTTTTCATGGAGAAGAGTGATTTGGGGGAGAGGGGGTGGGCAGGGAGAAAAGGACAACAATGAATGATTGGAAATCCTAAGTCTCTGTAAACTTTCATTAAAATTAATAAATAAATTTTTAAAAATGCTACTACAAAAACTCAGATGTTTATGAATCAAAATCAGTAGTGGGATTCTGCATAAACTTAAATTTCTTATGGTATCATCAAAAGATATTGTCCAGATAGAAAAATGTGGAAACAGACTGTTAATGGCTACACAGCATGATGGATGTAATTGTCACCGAACTGCAGACGTAAGAAAAGATGAAATGGCAAATATTTTGTTCTAGATATTTGTATCATGATGCCTTTAAGTTGTGGTGCTGGAGAAGAGTATTGAACATAGCATGGACTGCCAAGAGAACTAACAGGTTCTGTCCTAGAGAGGGTAAAACTAAGCCATTCCTTGGAGACAAGGATTTTTTTTTTTTTTGACAGAAAACATAACTTTGTTTATTATATTAAATGTTTAAGTTACGATCTCTATCAAGCACTGATTTTACAAATATTATAATTTTGCTCTATATTTATACATTATTAATAGAAAACCCACCTAGTATAGATACTTTTAAATAACCTTCATTCCACTCATTTCCCCCTCACATTCAAAGGCAACCAGGAGTCTAAAGGAGACAAGGATTTTGAGACTCTATCTCACATACTTTGCGCATGTTGTCACGAAGGACCAATCTGTTGAGAAGAATATCACATTTGGAAAGGTTGAGGAATGGCATAGGAAAGGAAGACCTGAGATTAGATGGACTGACACAGTAACTGGGGTAATGAGTCACAGACAGTGACACTGGCTCAGGATAGAGCAGGGTTGAGAGCTATTATACATGGGGCTACTTTGAGTCATAGAAAGCATTTAACAACAACAAGAACCATGAAAAAAACCTCAATATATTTACACATATAAAGATATCACCAAGAGTATGCCAGAAGAAGAAATAATCTAAACCTTGGAAATGGAGGATCAAATTAGTAGACAAACAGGAAAAGACAGCAAAGGATCAACTTTTCATGGACAGTATAGCCAAGGACATATATATGTCTATACGGCACAACATAGGGCAGAGTTCAGATCTGTTAATCATAGGGTCACTATGAGTCTTACTCAACACAGAACAAATGTAAAGTTGTGTTTCAGAATATAATATGCATATCAGCATTGTCTATTTGGTGGAATGCTGAAAACTCTAGTATATTTGGTGGAAAATAGAAAATTATTAAACATTTTAAAAGTATGTATTTTGACATTTCTGAATCCTTAAGTCCTGTCGGTATAGGGTGTGGCATAGCTTACAGCTACTGTTTATGCAATCTTACTACTGCAGTCAGGGAGCCACCCAGCAAGCATTTAAAGCAGCTTCTTAATGCTGTGCTATTATTCTAGAAGATTTAAATGGTGCTCTTATCTCTCTGATAGCTCTCAGTCTCTAATGCACAAACTGTCTAAAAGTTCAGGCCTATATATTTAAAGGTTCAGCGGAGAGACTACAAGTCACAAAGATCTTAAGAACTTGCAACTGTGACAAAAGGCCCATTACTAAAAACATTAGAGGGAATCTTGAACACTATCACATGCCTAAATTTAAGAATCATATTGTACATATCATTGGGGATGAAATGAGGAAATTCAATAGATTCTGGTCATCTCTCACATCAAGGGCAGAATATGGCGAAGAGGCCCAAGAAGGCAAATCCCATCTGCTGGGTGTACAACTATGCTCACTCTTGTTTGATCTTTTCTAGAAGAGTTTTGTTAGATTTCGGTGTTGAGGGCGCTGGACAGAGACCACAGAGTTCCCCACCCACTAGGAAAGACTAGGGGGCTGTTCAGTAAAGACAAGCTGGTGTGGGCAAAGGAGCAAAAGCAAAATAAGGTGGACACTAGGGAAACCGATAAAATGAAAAGCAACGCTCCGGGAGGGCAGGTGGGCAGAGCAGAGCAGACTTGAGGGTATAGAGCACCCTTCAAGGAACGAGAGACAAAGAGGAATAAAAAAAGTGGTCGTTTTCACAGAAACTAGACAGGGATCCACAGCAGAGGACTAAGGAGCTAAGTATTTGCACGCAGAAGCTAGGTTCAGGTTAATCTGAACGAGAAGCTCCCGGAAAACCTCGGGGAGTAGGACAGGCTCTGGAATTAAGACATGCGAACTAGAGAAATGAGGGGCGGTCAGAAAGAAGGGGTAAGAATGTTCCTGAAGACTCAAAAGGGGTGGGCAGGGGACTGAGGGGAAACGTAGACGCTCACCCGTGCTGCTCCCGGGCCTGTGAAAGCCCATGATCCGGTTGATACGCTGTTCTGAGTTCATGAGCAGCTTTCTCCGCCGCAGTTCGGCCCGACGCTGGGAAGCCGACAAGCCTGAGCTCGCAGTGGACCCCGGGTGGTCCCCGCCATCCGCAGCGATTGTCATCGGCTCCATTCTCCTTTCACTGTTAGGGGGAAGGTGTGGTGGTGGCAGCGGTGGAGGCAGCACGATGACTTCAGCCCACAAGGAGCGCACTGTCCTCCCCGACGTAGCCCCGCCCCCAAGTGTCATCCCTGAGCCTGCGGGAGGAGCGCGCGCGCAGCCCGATGGGAAGACACGGCGGACTCTGCGGCCGCCATGTTGGGTAAGGGTAGCAATGCTGTTTTTCAGGTACATTCTTCCAACCGCTACTCCTCATGTTGGTGGGCCAGGTCCCTTGAGATACATCTGGAACTGAATAAAACTGAACAGAGCCTGAGAAATGTGAAAGGAGTGGAAGTAGGAAGTAAGTTCATCTTCTTGTGTACCATCGAGTCAGAACTGACCCATAGTTGACCCTTTGGAGGTTTTCAGAGGCAGTTATCCGCACAAGAGGAGACTGCCCATCCTTCTCTCGTGGAACAGCTGGAATTGCGTGCTTTAGGCATTGCAGCATAGATTCTTGCTATTGGATTACTAGATGGGGTGCCAGGAAGTAAAATGGAGGTTGCAGCCTCAGGTGCTTCCTTGCAGTGACGTTCTGCAGCTTCCTTTATAAACCGCGGGAATGCTTATCTACCAGACTGATGCCTCAGGCAGCATCGCTGTGTATTCTTGGCGTTAATGTCTCGCAGTACACATACTAAAATTCTTCTAATTAGGGAACTCTGGTCACCTAGTGATCAGAAGCTGCGGCTGTAAACCTGGAGGCACGTGGTTTGAGTCCACCAGCTTCAGTGGGGGGAAAACAGCAGTCTCCTGTGAAATTTACTACCCCTGATGACCTGCTGGAGGGTCAGCTCTGAGTCGGTTCTGACTCAGAATTGTTGTTTTATTGTTGTAACGCTGCACAACAATAAAACAACAATTCTTCTAAGTATGTGCCTCATTTATTCCCAGGCATCCTCAAATTGTTAAGTGCCATCCAGTCATCTATGATTAACTATGTTGTTGTTGTTAGGTGCCGTCCAGTTGTAGACGACTCATAGCGACCCTATGAACGAAAGGCCTGAGCACTGCTCGTGCAAGAAATTTCGGAAACGGATCCCGCTCCTGCTTCCAGGCTTGTTTTAGTTGGGAAGCTCCAGCAAACACTGTCCACCATGGGTACCCATTACCACTTTTGGCGCATCAGTGTCACATTGTTCAGCATCACAGCAACCACAGTTACCTCTGTACAGCAATGCACAGACCAGTGCTATACCACCTAGAAAAATGTTTGACAAGAAAACAATTTGAACCCAGCCTGAGGGCCGCAGATTTAAATCACCACCTTCGGCTTGGTAGCATAACTTTCTGTCCACTAGGCCAACATAGTTGTTATTGCTGTTAGATGCCAGTGGAGTTGTAGACAACTAGCGACCCTATAAACAAACCTCGCCTTATGCTGTCCACATCATTTCTACTTGAGCCCATTGATAATCACTGTGTCAGTCTATCTTGTCGAGGATTTTCCTCCCTTCCTGTGACCCTTCAACGTTTCCAAGTATGATGTCTTTTTTCTGTGTACTGGCCCAGCCTAACAACATCCCCAAAATATGAGAGAGAAATCCTTTCGCCATCCTTGCCTCTAAGGAGCACAGGTTGCATTTTCTCCAAGGGATATTTCTTCTTTAGAAGTTCATGGGATCGTCTACTCTTCACCAACACAATTTATCCTTGTTCATTGTCCAACTTTCGATGCAAAGCAAGTAATTTCAGATGCAAACCAAAAGTAACCCAAACCAAAAACCCCTGGCTTGGATTAGTCTTTAAAGTGACATTGTTGTTCTTTAGCACTTTGGAGAGGTCCCTGCCTGGCAGCAATGTTGTTTGAATTTTTTTTTTTTTTTTAGCTAGACAGTTAAAAAGGTTCTCACCACTGGACCAATTGGCAGCATCAGGATGGATGGTGAAGAGATTGAGATTGAGATTGTACACAGCTTTAGTTTGCTTGGCTCCACAGTCAACAGTCTTGGCACCAGCAGCCAGGAAATTAAAAGGCGCATTGCCATGGGAAAGTCTGCTGTTAGGGACCTCTCCAAAGTGCTGAAGAGCAGTGGTGTCTCTCTGGAGACTAAGGTGCGTCTGATACAGGCCATGATACACTTTGGACATGTAGTGAGGAGAGACCGGTCCTTAGAGAGGAACATCATGCTTGGGAGGGTGGAGGGACAGCGCAGGAGAGGAAGGCCGTCTATGAGGTGGATTGATTCAGTGACTGGGATAATTGGGATGGGAGTGTCAGAGACAGTGCGATTGGCACAGGACTGAGCGGAGTTTAGGGCTGTTGTACATAGGGTCGCTATGAGTCGCAGGCGACTCGACGGCACATAACAACAACAACAACAACAACAACAACAGGGCAATAACACAGAGGCATAGCTAATGAAGAGTAGGCTATGCACACGAGATAAAGTAAGAAAGAAAGAAAAGGAGAAAAGGACCCTGGAAAGAGGGGTGAAGCCAAACTTTACGGCATGCTTTAGCAGAAGAGTAGGAAGGTGGGAAAAAGCTGATTCTAAGGGTGTTTATTGTGAATCAGAGCAAGATGAAATATTTGACAACTTCAATTTTTTTTCTATCCAGCTATAATTATGTTGTCTATTGGTCCAGTGGTGAGGATTTTGTTTTCTTGATGTTATGATATAATCCATGTTGGACTCTTACTTGCTGTGCATCAGAGAGCTGGACAATGACTAGGGATGATAGGAGAATTGATGCCTTTGTGGTATAGTGCTGGAGAAGAGTATTGAGTGTACCATGGACTGCTAGGAGAACAAACAAGTTCGTTTTGGAGAGGGTGAAACCAGGCTGCTCCTTGGAGGCAAGGACTCTGAAGCTTCGTCTGACATAATTTGGACATGTTGCAGGGAGGGACCAGTTCTTGGAGAAGGATGTCATGCTTGGGAGGGGGGAGGGACCGCGCAGGAGAGGAAGACCCTTAATGAGATGGATGATTCTGTCACTGGGGTAATGGCAATAGGTGTGTCAGAGACAATAAGATTGGTAAGGGATAGAGCAGGGCTTAGGGCTGTTGTACATATGGTCGCTATGAGTTGCAAGCGACTCGATGGCACATAACAACAACAACAACAACAACTTTATTATTATTATTATGTAATAGGTATGGAGAAAGGATACCAATTTGATCCTTACCTTCTCTGATGGTAAACTATGCAGTCTCACCTTGTTATGTCTGGACAACAGTTTCTTGTTATAGGTGTAAGTTTTGTATAAGCACAATTAAGTGTTCTGGGATTCCCATTCTTCTCAATGTTAGCCATAATTAATTATGCTTTTGCATAGTCAATAAAACATAAGTAGATATACTTCTGGTATTCTCTGCTTTCACCCAAGATCCATTTGGCATCAGCAATTAAATCCTTCATGTTTTGACCTATTCTAAATTCAGCTTGAATTTCTGGAAGTCCTTTACCTATATACTGTTCAATGTACATAAAAAATGAAGTGTCCAATCTTTTTTATAATCTTCAGCAAGATATTCTTTAATTTCCACATTCTGTCACATAACCTTTTTTGGGGATTGGAGACAAATATGAGTCTTTTTCAGTAAGTTGACCTTGTACCTGTCTTTCAGACTTCTTGGAAACAGAACCATAAATTATCATGGTTATCTCCCTGGAAAAAAAATTTGTTGTTGTTATGTCCTGTCAAGATGCTTTCGACTCATAGTGACCCTATGTAGAAAAGCCCTAAACCCTGCTCTATCCTGTGCCAACCTCACTGTTTCTGATATATCTACTCCCACTACCCCAATGACTGAATTGATCTATCTCATTGAGGGTTTTCCTCTCTTGTGTTGTCCCTCCACCCTCCCAAACATGATGTCCCTCTCCAAGGACCAGTTTCTCCTTGCAACATGCCCAAATTATGTCAAACAAAGCTTCATAATCCTTGCCTCCAAGGAGCAGACCGGCTTCACCCTCTACAGGATGAACCTGTTTTTTTCAACTAGCAGTCCATGGTATATTCAACACTCTACACCAGTACCACTATTCAAAGGCATCAATTCTTTTTCTATCATCCCTCGTCATTGTCCAGCTCTCTGACACATAGCATGCAATTGAGAAGACTATGGTCTGGATCAGAATCACCTTAGTCTCCAGACTGTCATTGCTCTTCAGAACTTTAGAGAGGTCCCTGACAGCCAATTTTCCCAATGCAATTTGTCTCTTGATTCCTGGCTGCTGGTAGTGAGAGTGTTGATGGTGGAGCCAAGTAAACAAACTGTTAACAATTTCAATCTCTTCACCATCCATAATGATGCTGCCAATTGGCCCAGTGGTGAGAATCTTTGTTTTCTTGATGTTGAGCTTCAAACCATATTTAAGGCTGCAGTCCTTGATCTGCAGCAAGCACTTCATGTCCTCCTCAGTTTCAGCAAGCAAGGTTGTGTCATGTGCATAATGCAGACTGTTGATGAATCTTCATCTAATCCTGATGCCACATTCCTCCTCGTACAACCCAGTGTCCTGGATGATCTGTTCTGCATACAGATTCAAAAGGTATGGAGACAGAATACATCCCTGGCAGACACCCTTTCCAATTTTGAACCATACAGTGTTTCCTTGCTCTGTTCTGACGACTGCCTCTTTGTTCAAGTATATGTTTCCCATAAGCACAGTCAAATATTCTGGGATTCCCATTCTTCTCAGAGTCAGCCATTGTTTGTTGTGATCCACACAGTCAAAAGCCTTTGCATAGTCAATGAAACTCAGATAGACATATACACCAGGTCTAGAGGACATGTCACTCTCTCCTGGGAAACTATCCTCATGTTATCAGCACCTTGCTGCCAATAGAAGAAAAGAGGTACTAAGCCTCAAGAAGTCAGTCCTGGAGTAGAAGTTCAAGGCAAAGGATTTTCCTCAGAACTGTCTGAAATAGGAAGGCTTCCCTGACACTTGTATCTGATAGCTGAACTTACAGACTCTTAAATTCAAGAGATACTAGCCACATCATAAGAGACTGGCCTGCCACCCAAGCATGCCACCCAATGTTCACTATGGCTTTGTTCAC